GCCAATGAACGTCCTTAAATGCTTCAATTGTATCAATTCAATTTGTACAGTTGCACGGATTAAGTGCGTTCACTCTATCAGTTTATAAGAATAGCCAGATTGCACAGTGGTGTCAGAAGAGTCAAAAATCAAAGCGATTCCGTCCTTCATATAACTATGTATTATTGTGCTAGTACTTATTATCGAACCATATAATTAATTCTTTCAATAATTAGCCATGATTGCATTTAAATGTTAATCTTAGAAAGATTTGTCTAAATCTATTCTTACGTGAGTTTCACTTTGATGAAGTGAAYCTCGTGTTCTCCATGCATGTAATGACACAATTTGCATTCTGGTGCACTTTTMTGCTTGGCTGACAATGCAGAATAAGATGACGCTTCATCAGTCATCCTGCTTTCAAACATGCTCGGTTGATACAAGATGACTTTTAAAGGCCGTTTGGCAAAGTTTGTGGTTTGGTTTTGGATTATGGCTGTATTTACCAATACATGTGCTACTACGAATTGCAACTGAAGATGTCTTAGCTGGATCCTTGCTGCCTACAGCCATAGTTCTGATTGTCTTTACTGTTCCTGACATACTTAGCAAAGCCGTTGTAAGCCCATGGATTGTGGAGCGAATCTCATTCCTGACAGCATTCATTCTCCATGCAATCGTTTTTTTTTTTTTTTGCTGTTCACTTTGACTTTTGCATTTGTCAATACTGTTAACGTGAGACTGGCTGGGATGTGTGTACTTGGATGTGTTGTGTCGATTCTGTTTAGCGAGACTTTCTTCCCCTGGAATGTGGAGTACGTCTAACTGTGTGGTGAGATGAAGAACTTTTTTTTACGCTCAATAAGCCTTATTGCCAATATTACTAGCTTGAAGAAGAAGAATGTTACATGACATCATAGTGAGAATGGCGTCACGTGGCAGCGCAGGATTCCTAACTAGCTGCAATGCAGAAAACATTAGGAGGAGCCGACGGGTTCCTGGGAGAAATATATCTGTTCTTATGTCCCAGCCAGCTGTGTAAGTCACAATTGGTTGCCATGAGCGAGAAATTCAGGAAAAAATAACTCTCCAGGCATGCATGAAGCAATACTTTCTAAGAATTTTTGCCAGGAAAACAAAAATTTGCTAACTAAAAAAATGTAAGCCGTTTTTGACCATAAAAGAACGTTATATACGTCTTTTTTGACCTTAAAAACGTTTGCCAGGTACAAAATTATTTTAGAGAACGAAGGGCGCCACATTTGCTTGTGAGATTGTCAACAATATAGCTCAAAATCCCTTCCAAGACAAAATTCTTGCAAGAACAGTTATTCAAAAGAATAGATGTCAGAACTTCTTGAGTGAATAAAACCCAAAACAGGACTGCAAGTTCAATGGCATAAAAAAGTCTGTTGCACTCTCCGTTCATGTTTTAACAGTCATGCTTTACTATCATACTCAACTCAAGATATCTTCCTACAGTCATTTATCTTTAGTAATATTATTTTTTTAATCGTTCCTGACATCCTTCGTCAACAAGCTCAGTGATTTTTATTCTCGCCATGAATAATAAATATAGGGGCAGCACAGCATGAAACAAATGTTATGGYGCTGCAAGAGCTTTATTCTTTTGTCTTTTAATGAACTTTTTTCKAGTTCCTCTCGGATTGATATTGCAAATGTTATTTTGTATTTCTGTATAAGGGCTGTGTTCAACTCAGCGATATGCAGGACAAAGGAATGTTAAAAGTATTAAATCCCAAAGAGTGTTTCTAAAATTGGTAAAAAACATCAGCAAGACTCTCAAAACTTAATTTTAATTACAATAAAAATTAAAATTCCAATTAAAATTGTACAGTTATAATATTCTTGACACAGATAACAATCTAATCGATTTTTCACGAACCACGATTTGCTATAATGTTGTTCAAATCCGCGAAAAATTCTAATAAATAAACTCACGTCAAGTAGCAGAACTTAATTGGTAACAATTATAGTAGTCAATGATGTATTTTGCGCGCTGTGCCAAATTGGCCAAATTGTTTGTGTCTACCAATCCGCTAAATGATACAACATGAGTCTTTAACAACACACAGCTGCTGTAAAGACATTATTATAAACTGCGAGTTTCCATGAGATGGATGACATACAGATTTTGGTGTATTATGCGATCATCTTCATGGTACAAATTGAAGGTAAAAACCTTTTTTGATTTGTAGGAGAGAACTAAACGCCGATTGTTTTATTTCAATCTACATGTAAAGCTTTTTACTCGGTAATCGAATTAGTCTCGAGGAATTTTAAAACTCCGTTGTTTTATGACCAAAGTATGCAGGAGGTTTTTCTTTTGGTTGCTGTTTTTTTTTAAATAAAACCTATGACTATGCACTGGAAAATCTCTCTCTTTTACATATTATGTAAATATCTTGGAAATTGTATATTACAAACAATTTTTTCACATTTACAAAACATCTACATTGAGTACGAGGAAGAATTTACAAATGATTTACAAAGTCTTTTGAAATTTACATAGTATGTAAAAGTGTGAGGTTTTCCAGTGATGCATGAATATCTTTGTTAGCA